GAATTTCCTTCTTTTTAAAGGCTGAACATTCCCTCGTATGTATAGACCACGTTTTGTTTATTCATTCATACATCAGTGGATAGTTGTGTTGCCTTCACCTTTTGGCTATTGTGAATAATTGCTCCTGTGAATATGGGTGTTAAATATATTTTCAAAACCCCGCTTTCAGTTCTTTTGGGTATATACCTAAAAGTGGGATTGCTAGATCATATGGTAATTCCATTTTTAATTTTTTGAGGAAGCACCTTCGTGTTTCTAACAGCGGTTGTGCCATTTGACATGCCCACTGGCAACACAAAAGGGTTTCAATTTCTCCATATCATCATCAGCTTGGTTTTTTTTTTTTTTTTTTTTACAGTAGTCAGCTAGTGGGTGTGAAGTAGTCTCTCATTGTGGTTTTGATTTGCATTTCCCAAATAATTAGTAATTTTGAACATCTTTTCACGTGCTTATTGGTCATTCACACGTCTTCTTTGGAGAAATGTCTATTTCAAAGCCTTTGCCTGTTTTTAATTGAGTAACTTTTCTGTTGAGCTGTAGGAGTTCTTTATAATTTTCTGTATATTAACCTCTTTTCAGAGGTTATTCAGTCACTAAGTCATGTCCAACTCTTCGTTACCCCATGGACTGCAGCCGGTCAGGCTTCCCTGTCTTTCACCATCTCCTGGAGTTTACTCAAACTCATGACCATGGAATCGGTGATTCCATCGAACCATCTCATCCTCTGTCACCCTCTTCTCCTCCTGCTCTCAATCTTTCCCAGCGTCAGGGTCTTTTCCAATGCGCTGGCTCTTCACATCATGTGGTCAATATTGGAGATTCAGTTTCAACATCAGATATGTGACCAGCAAATACTTTCTCCTGTCTTGTAGACTGTCTTTCTACTCTGTTGATTTTGCCCTTTACTGCTCAGAAGTTTTAAATTTTGATGGATCAAATATATCTACTTTTCCCCCTGTTGGTTGCTAGGGCTTTTGACAGCATATACCTTGTCCCTTTAAACGGCTACAGAACGGTTCATTGTGTGGTTGTTTTGTAACTGGATCTGTCAGCAAATCCTGAAGCTTCTACTTTTAAAGTGGACTCACTCTCTTTCTCACAGCCTCCACGGCTTGGTGGAGCCCACTGTTATCTGGCTGCGTGACTCCGCTTACCTCCTTGCTGGGCTCCCTGCTTCCCCGCTTACCTCCAGGACAGTCCATGCCCCATAGGCAGCCCACAGATCCTATCAGAACCTCAGTCAGCTCCTGTCCCTCCTCTGCCCAGAACGCGCCTTTGCTCCCCCTAACCCCAAGTAAAAGCCAAAGTCGTTACATGCTCAGCTGTGTCTGACTCTTTGCTACCTTATGGACTGTAGCCCGCCAGGCTCCATGGGATTTTCCTGGCAATATTTGGAGTGGGTTGCCATCTCCTTCTCCAGGGGATCTTTCTAGCCCAGGGACTGAACCTGTATCTCCTGCATCTCCTGCGTTGGAGACGAGTTCTTGACCACTGAACCATCAGGGAAGCTAAAGCCTTGTGAGATACGGCCCCCACTATTCCTACAAGATAATTTCCTGCTATTTACAGGAGCCAGACATGCGCTTACCTCAGGGCCTTTGTGCGTGCTGTGTTCTTGCTGCTGTCTGCACAGCCCACTCCCTCACTGCATTCTGGTTTTGCTCATCTGTCACCTCAGTGAGGTCTCCCCTGACCATTCTAAAATCTTAATAACTGCAACGGCCTCCCCAGTGGCTCAGCAGGTAAAGAATATGAATGCAGGAGACACGGGAGACACGGGTTTGATCCTTGGGTCAGAAAGATCCCCTGGAGAAGGAAATGGCAACCCATTCCTGCCAGGAAAACTCCACGGACAGAGGAGCCTGGGGGGCTACAGTCATGGGGTCGCAAACATGATGGAGCACACGGCACAGTTATCTGACCATTCTCAAGTTAAAATAAAATCCCCCAACACTCCCCATCCCCCTCCTCTGCTGCATTCTTCTCCATGGAACTTTCCAGAAGGTAACACACTGTATACTTAACTCATTTACCTTGTTTACTGTTTATCTTCCCCGAAAGGAATATCCCTGTTCATGGGAACAGGGATCACTTCTGTCTTGTTCGTGAATATGTCTCTAGGGCATGAGACACGGTAGGTTCCAAAAAGTATCTGATGAATGACTAAAGGAAAGCACCTTTCGTCTACTTGTTGGACATTTTTATTTCTTTCAGTGGTGGTTTGCTCATGCCCTGTGAGCATCTATTAGTATCCACAGTGCCCATAAGCCAAGTACTCACCAGGTCCTCCATGAAAGATTCATTTAAATCATTCTTGGATTTCCAGAACTGACTCATTGGAAAAACCCTGACGCTGGGAAAGATTGAAGACAGGAGGAGAAGGGGACAACAGAGGATGAGATGGCCGGCTGGCGTCACCGACTCGATGGACATGAGTTTGAGTAAACTCTGGGAGTTGGCGATGGACAGGGAGGCCAGGCGTGCTGCAGTCCATGGGGTCAGAGTCGAACACGACTGAGCAACTGAACTGAACTGACTGCATTTCCAGAGCTGGCCACGTGGTGGCAGCATGTGCTCAGACAAGTTTCACTAGCAGCCCCGAGGGTCTCCCACCAATTCCAAAATTTCGGATCCCAGGACATTGGACCTGGAAACTCTCCGGGATCTAATCTAGGCAGGTGGGAAAGTGAGGTCCGGCAGAGGAGGCATGGTGAGGGAAAACGTCGGACACAGGAATCTGGGGCGATCTGGCTTTTGCTCTTGTACCGGTTCACTGTGATTCCAGGGGCAGTCCTAACCAGCCCTGGGCCTGCAGGCCTGCCTGCTTTGGCAGGTTTCCAGGACACGCGTGGTCGGGCACTTTGCGGGGCTCAGGGGAGGTCCTTCACTCTCACGCGTCAAGGTGGGCTGGTGTGACGGGGTGCTGTAGGCCAGAACGCCCCGAGAGAGGGAATGGCGTTACCCTCGTTGACCAGGTGAGGGACGCCAGAGTGCCAGGGCCTGTAGGGTAAGAGCAGGAACAGAAGGCCAGCCCCACAGCATCCCAGCTCCAAAGCCTCCAGAGACTCTCTCTCCGGACCCTCTCTGATGCTTCCCCCTTCAGCCTTATTTTTTGACCTGCTGGCTGACTTCTAAGCTCCGCTGAGAACACCTTGACCGCCGTCTGCCAAAGAAGCAACAATGGACACCTTTGGTTTCCTCCTCCTGGAAACGGGGCTAAAGAAAAGTGGCAGAGGCCAGGAGAGGGGATTCTGAAAGCAGTTTGGGGGCAGAGGAGGGCATGGGCCGGGGCAGGAAAGGGCCTGTTCTTCCCCAGTCGACCTCCGGGTTCCTGCCCACCATTCACAGCCACGCAGGCCCACTCACAGCTTCCAGTTTTAAAAGTGAAGCTAGAATTTTGAATTTTGATGTGACATATCTTGATTTTGTTAAATGTTGGCAACACAGTCATTAAAAAACAAGACAGAGAAAAAAATCCGAAGCAAATCACCATGGGGGTCAAGCCGAACCCGTCTCTGGGTTGGATCTGGGTGCTGGCTGCCGCCTTGAGACCCTTCCCCGCCCCGGGTTCCTAGGAACACCTACGCCACCAGTGACTGGGAGAGGTTGCCGTGGGAGGTGACAGGTGGGTCCTGGTTTCTGGGGCCTCGTCGCCTGCAGGGCCACTGGGGCGTGCTCCAGGGCTCTGGGCCATAGTGGTTCGGTCGCCTCACCCCCCTCCTCGGGGAAAGGCTGAGCGCTAGTGGCGGGGCAGCAGGCAGGGCCTGTTGAGCAACCAGCCTTGTGAAAACAAGGGCTTACGTCACCCGTGCAGGCAGCTTCCCTGCAGGACACCTGCGGTGGTGCTGGGGTGGGAACCATCACTGATTTCAGCATCGGGGGAGGCAGGGTGGGAAGCCAGAGGCTCAGTTTGGCAGGTGAGGGCAAGACCCCGATGGGACTGGATCTGTCCTTGGGGGCTGGTCCCCAGGGCCTTGGCGGCCCCTTGACTCACGGTGTAACCCCCAACTGCCCTTCTCTGAGCCTCAGTTTTTCCACTCGGAAAATGGGGCTCACATCAGACCTGCTATGATTTATTACAAACCCAAAGGGGAAGGCTGGGCCGGGAAGATGTTCATCCCACTCCTGGGGATGACCTTGAACAGATAGCCTGAGGAAACTATGCGGCCTCAGTTTCCTCATCTGTAACATGGGGATGATAATAGGACCTGCTTCTTACCAATGATCAGGAGGATTAAATGAGTTAATATATGCAAAGGGCTTACAATATGGTTCAGGGAGGGTGAAAGACTGACCTGAGATCACACACAAATCCTTCAGTTAGCTGCAGACTCCCCACGTCTCACTGCATCTCCCCAGAACCCTGAGAGGCGGGTGCGGGTGCTGAGTCTCAGAGAGATCAGAGTCCGGTTAATAGGGTGTGGGGGGACCTCCCCATCCTCTCCTCTACCTTCATTTATTGAGCCCCTCCTGTTCCAGGTACTGGGGGAACAGCAGTGAACAAAACGCACAGAAACCCCTCCTGGAAGTCAGGGAGGGCTCTCGGAGGAGACCTGAGGGGCCACCTGCCTTGGGCAGAGCTGGCGAAACCATGTTCTTGGTCCAGAGGTAACAGCAAATGCATTCTGTTCCCCGGTAAATGGTGAGCATGCCTGACCCGCCATTTCCCATATTTGAGGGCCAGCGCTCATGGAGCCGGGTACTCTGGGGGAGGGGGGACTGAGGCAGACAAGACAGCGAGGATCACGGTGGCTGGAGGTAAGGGCTAGGAAGGAAGTTCACCGGCAGGTGGGGCTGGAGGGCCTCTCGGGGGCAGTGGACCTTCAGCTCAGCCCTGAGTGTCCCATTTTGCAGCTCAGGAGGTCTGGCTGGGTGGCCCCAGGACCTTAGGTCCCTCCCTGGCCCAGAGGCTGCTGGGAAAGCCCAGAAAGCCAGCAGGCTGGGCCAGTGTTTCACCCTGTCCCTCCCTGCCCCCTAACCCCCAAGGGCACTCAGAGATGTCATTTCTCCAGCTCTCCGGGGCGGAGGTCACCCCAGCTCAGCAGATAACGCTGAAGGTTGAGCAATGCCCGCCTGCCCGCCAGGGCCAGGGCTGGGGTCAGTGGGTCGGGGGTCAGCACCAGGCAGGCTGGGAGCTCCTGCCTGGGGTGTCCGGGGGCTGGGAGTGGCAGAGGGGTAGGCCCAAGGGGCTGCCGAAATGACCTTGGAATGGTGCAGGGGAGGGCCGGGGCGGCTGGCACCCCCTCGACAGGGAGGGCCTGTGGCCTGCGTTCCCATCCTAGTGGGCCATCTCATCTCCCTTTCTGTGGACCAGGGGCCTCGCGGGCACTCTCCTGGCAGGGCGAAAAAGCAAATTCTGGGTCCAGACCCCTCTCACCGCACAGCAGGGATCTGATGAAAGAGGAGAACTCCCTCTCTCCTGGGCCCTGGCTGGACCCCCACCCCATCAGCCTCAGATACAGGTTTTTTGGGGGGGTGACAAATAGCCCTGAGGGTGCCCGGATAAGGGCTTTTCTTTTGAGAACAGTGGGGAACATGAAGCCATGTGATCTTGGGTGTGCTGTGGACCTCTGGGCCTCTTTGTACCCTGGGAGGAGGCCCTTATTTCTGATGTGCATCCCGGAGCGGTGAGCGTTTGGGAGTCTGCGTTGGAGACAGTTAAGAGAGCTAATAAAGATAACAGTAAGGACACCCTCGCAGACTGAAACTTGGAGAAGCCAAGTGACTAGCCCAAGGTCACACAGCATGTGGGGGGGGCACCCCACCCCCGTTCCAGCCTCCCGGGAGGGGGCCCCGGGCCAGGGCGGGCTGTGGCTGGAGAAGACGCAGGTGTGGTCCGAGGGGGCGGGCCCGGGGGAGGGGCGCTCGGCCCCTCGCTTGCACCTCCCCAAGCCACCAACCCTAGGTTTTCCCATTTCAGAAGGGGAGTCACCGCAGGTGTGACAGTCCCTCCAGTCCAAATCCGTGGAGGCGTGCCAGTTTAGAGGCGAGGCCGCACTCAGGAGAGGCTGTGGAGGCGACTCAACCCTCCGGGAGTCCGAGCTGGGGGTGCTGGGGTCTCCAGCATCCCTTGGCGGGGGGCGGGGGGGGCGCGTCCCCTCCCTGGAAAGCCAGGCCCGGCGGCCGCGGCTCCCGAAGGCCAGCGCCTCCTCCAGCAGGGGGCGGGCGGCGGCCGCGTTCGGGGTGGGAGCAGACGGCCGCCCGGCCCCCTCCCCGGGCTCCCCCTCCCTTCCCGTCCGGCGGCCGGCCCAGAGGGGGCGGTCCGGGGGCGGGCTCGCGCCTCTCCGCTCTCGCCATCCTGGGGCCGCCGGGTGGGAGTGGGCAGGGGGCGGCCCGAGGCCGCCCCCCCCCCCGGCCCCGCAAGCCGGGGGACCCCGGGGGGCGCGCGCCGGGTCTCCAGGCCGGCCCGCACGCGCCGCCGGCGCCCTCCCGGGGGTCTCGGGCGGCCGCGGCGTGTCCTCTGCGTGCCCGGGGAGGGAGGGGCCGCCGCCGGGCGTGACGCAGCCGTTGCTATGGCCCGCCTTTATAAATAAACGGGCTCGGGAGAAACTTTAGCGAGTCAGAGCCGCGCACGGGACCGGGAAGGGGACCCACCCGAGGGTCCGGCCGGCAGCCCCCCACACTGATAGCGGCTACCCCGGAGCAGCGGCGGCGGCAGCAGCAGCAGCATCAGCGGCGACACAGCGGCGACCGTTCGGAGTCGGGAGGCCGCGCCACCTGCGGGCCGGCCGGCGCGGGCAGCCCCAGGCCCCTTCCCCGGGCACCCGCGTTCATGCAACGCCTGGTGGCCTGGGACCCAGCATGTCTCCCCCTGCCGCCGCCGCCGCCCGCCTTTAAATCCATGGAAGTGGCCAACTTCTACTACGAGGCGGACTGCTTGGCTGCTGCGTACGGCGGCAAGGCGGCCCCCGCGGCGCCCCCGGCGGCCAGACCCGGGCCGCGCCCCCCCGCCGGCGAGCTGGGTAGCATCGGTGAGCACGAGCGCGCCATCGACTTCAGCCCCTACCTGGAGCCGCTGGGCGCGCCTCAGGCCCCGGCACCCACCACGGCCACGGACACCTTCGAGGCGGCTCCGCCCGCGCCCGCCCCCGCGCCCGCCTCCTCCGGGCAGCACCACGACTTCCTCTCCGACCTCTTCTCCGACGACTACGGGGGCAAGAACTGCAAGAAGGCGGCTGACTACGGCTACCTGAGCCTGGGCCGCCTGGGGGCTGCCAAGGGCGCGCTGCACCCGGGCTGCTTCGCGCCCCTACACCCGCCGCCCCCGCCGCCGCCGCCGCCGCCGCCGGCCGAGCTCAAGGCGGAGCCGGGCTTCGAGCCCGCGGACTGCAAGCGGAAGGAGGAGGCCGGAGCGCCGGGCGGCGGCGCCGCGGGCATGGCGGCCGGCTTCCCGTACGCGCTGCGCGCCTACCTCGGCTACCAGGCGGTGCCGAGCGGCAGCAGCGGGAGCCTGTCCACGTCCTCGTCGTCCAGCCCGCCCGGCACGCCGAGCCCCGCCGACGCCAAGGCGCCCCCGGCCGCCGCCGCCTGCTACGCGGGGGCGGCGCCGGCGCCCTCGCAGGTCAAGAGCAAGGCCAAGAAGACGGTGGACAAGCACAGCGACGAGTACAAGATCCGGCGGGAGCGCAACAACATCGCGGTGCGCAAGAGCCGCGACAAGGCCAAGATGCGCAACCTAGAGACGCAGCACAAGGTCCTGGAGCTCACGGCGGAGAACGAGCGGCTCCAGAAGAAAGTGGAGCAGCTGTCGCGCGAGCTCAGCACCCTGCGGAACTTGTTCAAGCAGCTGCCCGAGCCCCTGCTCGCCTCCTCCGGCCACTGCTAGCGCGGCCCCCGCGCGCGGCCCCCGCGCGGCCAGGCGCGCCGCGGCCGCCGAGACTCCGGGGAGCGCCCGCGCTCCCGCCCGCGCCCCTGGCGGCGCCGGCAGAACTTTGGCACTGGGGCACTGGGCAGCGCGGGAAGCGCGTCGGTAATTTTAATATTTTATTATATCTATCTATCTATATTTTTGTCCACACCAGCCGCACGTGCAGACGGGGCGCCCGCCCGTGGTGTTATTTAAAGAAGAGATGTGTATGTGTACAGATGAATGATAAACTCTTGCCTCTCCTTCTGCCCACCCCCCGCTCTCCGGGCGCCGGCGGGCGGGCCGGTTTCGAAGTTGATGCAATCGGTTTAAACATGGCTGAACGCGTGTGTACACGGACTGACGCAACCCACGTGTAACTGTCAGCCGGGCCCTGAGTAATCGCTTAAAGATGTTCCTACGGGGTTGTTACTGTTGATGTTGTTTTTTTGTTTTTGTTGTTTTTTTTTTTGTCTTTTTTTTTGTATTATAAAAAATAATCTATTTCTATGAGAAAAGAGGCATCTGTATATTTGGGAATCTTTTCCGTTTCGAGCATTAAGAACACTTTTAATAAACTTTTGTGGTTTTTTTTTTTTTTTGAGAATGTTTACAAAGCCTTTTGGGGGCAGTAGTTGGCTTTGGTTTTTGTTTTTTTTTTTCTTCCCCTTTATTTTGGATTTATATTTGCCTTTCTGGTGTGTGTGGGGTTGTTTGTGTGTGTGTGTGTGTGTGTGTGTGTGTGCTGCTATTATTTTTGGCTTTTTAGGTGGTTGGGTGGGGGTGTTGCAGCTGCTTATTCTCTGCTAACCGCCCCCCCCCCACCCCCAGGGCCTGCGCTTGGAGATGGGGGCATCAGGCCTGGCGCGGGGGAGGGGCAGAGGAGTGCTGGGTCAGGCTTTCAGGGTGACTCACTGCTGCTGGGTGCTGGGGAGTAGTGACTAGGAGCCTTGCTTGGGGAGGGCCTGCAGGGCCTCTGGCTGCTCCTGAGTGCTGGGCTTGGGTTTGGAGGGGCCTGGCGGGCTCTGATCTCTGCACAGTGCTTGGGGACCCAGCCCGCAGAACTGTGACTCTGAAAGAGGAGGGGTGCAGGTCTTGGTCCCGCTGAGCCCATATTGGAACAGACTGTTTCAGAAGTGAAGCGGGGCAGGGTGTCTAGAAAAGTGTGTGCGCATGTATGTATGTTTTTAAGAGAGTAGCCTGGGTGTGTGGGTGAGCTCCTGTTTGTGTGTTGCTTGTACCTACTATGGACCCTGACGTCCAGGCTCACCTGCTAAGGACGCTGAGCCCGGGTGTGAACCCAAGACTGCTGTCCCTGATTCCCTGTGACAGAAATGGCCCCGGGCAAGCCTGCGTCTTCCCTGCCCCCTGCTACACTCCTGCCTGCCCCTACGGACGGCTCCTCCACCCCCATTCCAGCCCTGGATGGCATTCCTGAGAGTTGAGGATGTAGACGGAGGGGTTTGTGGATACCCGGACAGCGTCCCACGGTGCCTGGCATGCAGGAGGTGTTATATAAGTGTTTGCTCTTGTTATTATTTTTCACTGGGAGCCTCCTGGCATTAGGCACTTGGATCTTCAGCGCGGCGTGAGTGTGGCCAGCGCTCGCCAGGGGCCAGTGTGCAGTAAGCCCTGGACCGGCCCATCTCGTTTAAATCTCACAGCCACTGTCGGAGAGGTTGCTACCATTACAGGGCCTGCTTTCAGAGCTGTGAAACTGCCTTTTGGCTATCACATCCCTAAGGGTGAGAAATATGTTTGTGGGAGAAGCCCTGCTTTAGGAATTCAGGGGTTGAGGGAGGGTGGAATGGGGGGCTTCATAGATGAGTTTGCTGGGGACCTGGGACAGCGTGGGATCTCGGGAGCAGTTGCTGATACTGTGGTTTGAGAAGGGGCAATGCGTTTCCTCTCCCTTGCCTTTTGGGGGCCTGGGTGTTTCCCACCACCCTTCCCGTGGAAGCCCGTGGGAAACAGACACTCAGCCCCCACTGTTATGGAGCCGAGGACCAAGGCACACGCCACCGCCCTAACCCCGTTTGTGGCCTGGGCGCTGGGGGCGCATAACCTGGGCCCTGGGCGGCCGGAAGACTGATGGGAACCTGCAACGTCCAAGTCCATTCGGTACCAGATCCAGCGCATCAGCTCAACTGCCGCTGGGATTTCCCCGCTGAGGGGCACAGTGGGCTGGGGGGCTGATCTCGGGAGTGAGGTAGCTCAGTCTTTGGGTCGGGGATGGGGGGAGGGAGTTGCACACTGAGGAGGGAACCTCTGCAGTCCCCGCTCCTTGGTTGTTGAGAGTTGGCTGGCGGCTGCGCTTCTCACCAGAGGATGCATGAGGGGCGAGGAGTCTGGGCCAAGAGTGACCCCAGGCCCCCGTGTCCTGAGCGCCACTGCACGCTGAGTGTCGTGTGTCGCCCTTCACACACGCAGACCCTCCTGTAATCGACATAAGTGCCCGGGGAAGGGGCCACAGCGGTTTGACAGAAGGAAACTGAGGCCCACGGCAGCGGGGTTACTGCTCTGGAGGAACAAGGGTGGAGCCAGTTAGCCAAGTTCAGCTCCGGAGTCTCTGGGGAAAGCTTGGGGGCTGAGAGCCTGGTTGGTAATCCCGGCCCCTACCCCAAGTCCTGGACCCTGCCTGGAGGAATCCTTGCCCCCACCTCAGGCACCTCGAATGACGGGGCTAAGTGACTTGCTTTTGGTTTCACAGTTTGGAAGCAGCATTAAAGGAGTTTGAACCTGAGCCCATCTGACAGCCCCTGATGAAGGCTTGGAGAAATAGTTAACAGGTTGAGGGCTCTGATGGTGCTCCAGGTGGCACGTGGGGGCACCGTGGACAGAGCTGTGCTCAGAGGACTTGGGGAAATGTCATAAATGGGGGGACATCCACCCTATGCATATGCATTGACAGGCTGCAGGCTCGCAGGGAAGAGGGAGGGTCTGTTCAAAAGCTGGGAAACGAGAGAGAACAGGATGGGGTGAAGCAGGAGGAGGCCAGGAGTGTGCCTCGGGGAGCAGGAATCACAGTGGATGCACACTCAGGACTTCCAGTGAGCAAGACAACACGCCACGACCTTCGCCCAGATGGATTAGCTGGTTTCTCCCAGCTGCCGGGTCATGTTAACCGTAGACCCGTTTAGTGGGGTTGACCACTGAGGCTAGCTGGGAACACTGACCAATGTTTGCTTAGGACAGGAGAGTTGACAGAACACACTGACGCCTCGTAATCTTAGGCAGTTGCCCCACAGCCTGGTGATTTTTACCAGGGATAGAAGTGAGTGTCAGAAATCGAAGCTGGAGACACTGCTGGGTGCCGGACCCTGTGCCCACCATGTAGTGGCTTATCAGCCTCTTGGAGGCCCTGGCTTTTGTTATTGGCATTTTCCTGCCAATCAAGCCGGCTCTGAGAGGGGAGGTGACCTGTCCAAGGTTGCACGGCTAAGGATCGTGATATTCAGGATGGGAAAGAGAAGGGGGACTTGCCCATCCAAATACCTCCCCCTAATGTGTCCTCCCCCTAAATCCCATCTAGACCTCTCTGGGACTGTTTTGTCCCTGTTTCTGACACACCAGTTATTATTTTTTTTTTTCACTTATTCCTGAAGCATTTATTGAGCACTTGCTCTGTGCCAGGCCCTATGCTGGGTGCTGGGGACACATTCCCAAAATGGAGATGATGAGTTTTGGGGACAGTCAGCAGACATTAAGGACAAGATAATGACAGATGGGGACAAGGGCTCGGAGGGAAGGGGAGTAGGGCAGGGCGGCGTGGGGGCGTCCAGGTAGGCCTCTCCACGGAGGAGGCATCCGCAGGGGCGAGTCAGGTGAGGCATGGGGGGCGGGAAGAGCCTTGGTTTTTGGAGCCCTCGCCTACTCCAGATGTCACCATGTGAACCTTTTATCCGCGATAATCCAACGACTCGGGTGCTGTGTGACACCCCCTTCCCTAGGTGGACAGACAGGCCCCGAGAGGCGAAGGCGCTGGCCCCACGGCTGGGGAGTGGCAGCACGAAGCCTTCTCCTGCTTCCCTCTCCCGGTCCCAGGCCTTTCCTCTGCTCCGCTTGCTTCTCCTGACACGCACCCCCCCCCCCCCCAACTGAGTCCTTTCTCAGCCTGGCTGACCACCTGGGTGACCAATGCTGGAGTCCCAGTGGCCCCAGCCGGCTCGCTTTCTGGCCACCTCCTTAGGGGTGTTCAACCTTGTATTGACCATGGCCACGTATAGTGGGGTGATGGAGGCTAGGGAGGGCTGGGGAATCGGGGGGGTTCCTGGGGCTCCAGCCCGCTGAGGCCAAGAGGTAGGAGTCCTGTGTCAAAGAGTGGGGACCTGATGCTTTGAGAAGGGACATCACTTGCCCAGAAAGCAGTGAAGTTAGAATTTGAATCCATGTCTGTCTGAGACCCAGGCTAAGCCACATTCTGGTGAGTTAGTTACTGTATGAGGGGAAACAGATGGGCAGACCTCGGTTTTGCCCTCTTTAGCTCATCTTTGAGTAAGAGGCAGGGGGAGAAAAAAGCTTCCAAGTTTTGTCCCTTATTTGCTGGGTGACCTCCAGCAAGATGCTCGACCAGTGTGGGCTGGGGCCTCCTCCCCCAAGAACAGAGAGAGTACCAGCTCTTGTTCATGCATTCAGCCGGCCTGTGCCCATGGGGCTGACCTGGTGGGGGAGCTGGTTGATGGGTTAGCGGGCTAATTTCAGACCACGATGAAGACCTTGGGGAACGTGGTAGAGGGTGGCCGGGGAGAATTTTTACAGGGCATTCCAGGCAGAAGGAGCGGCAGGTGCAAAGGCCCTGAGACAGGACCAGGCTCAGTGTGTTAGGGAAGCAGTGAGGAGCCCGTACGGCTGGCATCGAGGCAGCCAGAGGGGAAGGCGGAGGGGCGGCTGGGTCCCTCACGCAGGGCCGTGGAGTGAGGCTCAGAGGGCTTGTCGGGGGATGGACAGCTAGATGTTCCCATCAGGGCCTGGCACCTGAA